TCGTGTCCGCTCTTGAGTTGGCCTTTGGTCATATTTTGGTTATTTGCATTTTGGTTCTTGAACTTTCGTTTTCCTCATTTTTAGCCAATATTCTCAATTTTTCCTCAAGTTTCCACCACAACCTTCATTATTGTCCTACAAAGACAAATTACACAAATTAAACTCTATTCCAAACATTTATCAACAATTATTCATCGTTGTGAACCGAAATAAACGTATAAAAATGCCCTTATAAGTTATTGTGGAGAAATCCGACTTAGGCCAAGTTGGGAGAAAACCAAGAATTGATTTCGCAAGTGAAATATATGGTTCGTGTAAGTGTAAGAATACCAACAAAGAAAACAAAAAAGGAAAGAGACGTAGAGGCATTGGAACAAAAAAGTGTGTATGCTCGTTCATGTAGGTGAGTTGGCATGCAAGTAGACCAGTGCTAACTATTGCTTGTAATTGGTACAAGTACCATGGTCTATGTGAATGTTGATATAATCCACGGGTTGATTCTTTAATATTTCTCATTTTGATGGTTCTGTGAGTCTTGAGCATCAGATGATCATGTTGAATATGAGTCATCTTATTGTTTCAAAATATAAGGTTATTTTTAAGCACTTGAGCCAACAATTGTGTCTTATGTTTCTTCCGCTTTGGGATGAGCCACTTGCAATATCATCTACGTATGGTCCTGCAACAAGTTAAGTTGCTGTCATGTAAGGCTAAGTGGTAGTAGGTGGAGATAGTTGTTGAAAAATAATTTTGTGATGTATGATTGATTGTATAAAGTCTCCAGTCGTGTAACACTTCATGTGTGAATAAAAACTTATCTTTCTCTGATCTTTGTTCTTCATATACCTTCAGTAACACATATGAGATTAACTGTGCATCATTTTTGAGATGATTGCTAAGTGCTACCAAGATAACAATGATCATGTAAAGGTACAAATCCTACAAAAATTAAAGGAGATTGCTAGTCTAACTTCTACATCATTAGTTGACTAACTTCTACATCATTAGTTTGACACATAAGTCAAAACTAAGACAAATGGTGTCCATTTTCAAAAATAAATACATCTACTCGTTGAGACTTACTGAATTTTGAGTTGCTGCTATCTAGACGAGACAATATGTCACAAAAGTTGCCTAGTTCCAATTACCTTAGGCTATCCTATACCATCAACACAACCTCCAATTAGGCACAATAAAATGGTGTATCGAATACGAGGATCAAAGTCTATGGTTTATTAATTTGGATTCATTTCTTATTCATTTGATACCTTACATAGTTGGTGTGAAGAATGTAGCCTCAGATGATAATTGTTGTTTTTGGGCTGTGACTAATACTATCATTATGGGTGAAGAGAATTGGCATTTGGTAAAAATTGACCTATTACGGGTCGGTATCAGACCCTTCACCTCACCCTCCACGTGTCAGAGAGGGTGGCCCACTCCATGACACGGTGGCCGAGGCGATTACTGTAAAGGGCGAGCTAACTGCAGAGGCCAAAGTAATTGCTTGAAAGACGAACTGAATAGGCTCCAGCAGACGAACCGGACTGAAGGACGAACTGAATAGGTGCCAGTAGATGAACCGGACTCATCCGCAAGTACGCAGTGGATGCAAAGGCCCGCACTCCGCTTCTACAACACTACAACGCCTCACCTCGTTGTCAAAGATCTCTTGTATAAAGATCTTTCCAAAGTCAAATCCCTGACTGATGGTACGTGTGGCAGGTCCTCAAACGGTCAAATCAGAAGCCTATGTCTGAAACATTCAATATCAGTCGAACAATGGAGCGACAGAGTAACAACTAGGAAGGGAGGAGCCTTGAGGATCTGGCAACACGT